AATGGAATGTTGCAACATAGAGCGGGTTCCGACCTAGATGCAGGTCATTGCTATGTTGCGCGAACGTTCCCATTGAAATCGAATTGTAAGGTCGTGCGGTGCGAGATCTTCTGTGGTCGACCAATCGCCGTCGATTATTTCTACGATCGCATGCGCCTATTGGTCCGGCCGATTAGAATAGTGGGGAAAAGGTTGCGGCCTTCCTTCGCGAATAGCTATTTGCGCTCTACGATTTTTAGCTAGGTTATCTGCAAATGCAATAGACTACTAGATGATTCGCGAGCAACGTTGCCTACGCGACACATTTTACAGTAGATCACGAAAATCCTCCTCTTTGCCCTTACAAACCGTACACACACGCCGGATTCTCACAACCAACCGCAATATTTAACTATAGACTGATGTAACAGGCACCGTCTTCATTTGAAAACCTGTCGCCCTTCGTAAGGATCTATTGGAAACTGGAAGGGTAACTATGACATACATGGGGATTCGATGTAAATTTTTTTGAAGGAGATATTAATGTAAAAATAGCTTTCTGTGATTGGCAACGTGGCATAGAAATCGCGGTTTTGTTGCTGTGTACAACAACGCAGTTGTACTTTGAGCATGGTCCTCTACTAGAATACAAGGCGGTGGCGGTGGCGAAGGACAACGGGAGGAAGTTAGATATAGTGTCTTGTACTTTAAAAGGTTACCAGTGGCGTGGCAAAACCAACACTTGATCGATAAAACTACTATGCTCACTGGAGACTCTTAAGTCACTTTTGAGATTACTATCCTCAGTTGATTTCCTCAAATCTTACTGATGGATGAAGGATGGATTTTAAATTCTTGTCCAGTATCCAGTGACAAATTTTAATTATGAATCCCAATACTCTACGTGAGTATATAATTTCCATAAACTGGGTCAGAACAACGAATAGATACACCGTTTGTCAACTTTGTAGTTAAAATTCAACCAAGCGAACGAACGCGTGTTTGTAATGAATAATTAATCCGGGACAAACGATTACCGCGGCTGCCCTTTTTTTTTTCGTAATTCCATTCACAACATGTTTATACATAAGGCATTTCCTTTCTGTTCAACTGCATTGGGGATATGGGTAGATACCTATCATGATGTCGATAAAATTCTTACTATTTATTAGATACATTATACATTTAAGAATTGTTACCCCAGCATAATGGGTTTAATGACCTTATGACTCCAGTCTAATAACCCTTTTCTGAAGTAATTTCCGATTCTACGTACCTCCGGCGAAAATTGCAAGAATATTTTGTGGATATTGTTGTCGCATTTAGCATTAAAACAGCAACTATTTTCAGTACCTGTATCTATCTACGTTTGTTATTACCTAAGCAAAAGCCTTGATAGAAGGTACTGTTGAAGAGGTTTAATGCATAAGCAAATTTCGTGCTGCTGCCTTCAGATCGGATTGTCAACGTCCCACATGCAGCATTGGCCAACGAAGGTAATTATCCAGTGCGGGATTGTCAGTGTCACGGAATCCTGAGAATTGTTTATTTTGCACATCATTAAGTTGACTAGAATGGCCGTGGACAGCTGACGGGGACCCATAAGTAATGACACTCCGAAATTTCCTAAGAAGGCGTGTAAGGATTCAAATGAATCAGAGCAAAACCTTATCCTTACTGGTCTCCAGGAAGATCGCAAATCAAGAATCCTTAAGTAAAGAGGTTTTTAGCGGAGAACCTGTTGCTAGTGGCATGCTTCTAAGAATTGCATTTTAGACAAAATAATATTAGATGGGTTCACCATTATCAAAGAAAGTTTGGCCAGCAATTATAAAAAATAAATAAAATTTGTAGAACAGGAAGCACTGCTAACATTGAATAACAGTCGGAAGGCAGAATATCAAAAGCTTAATTACTCATCAAAGATATAATTCAAGTAAATAAGCCATGTGGGCGTTACCAGTTAAATGCTGGCCTGCTACCTACGTACTTCTAAAAAAAACATGAACTCAAACAGACATAGTCGTGACCCCGATACATGACAACATCCATACTCAATCTTCTCAAGATGCGTTGGCAATTTCGTTTGACATTGTTATCACTTCTGAAAGTAATTATAATTGTGAATGAGATATCAACAAAATAATGTACACTAATGGCTCAGTCCATGTTATGCAACAATTATGACTAAAGGAGTATCCACCTTGAAAAAGAACAGAATTCTGGATGACGCAGGGAATTGAAAGACACATTAAGAAAAGTCATTAATGTTGGTGAAAATAGTTCGGGTTTAAAGAATCTGCTAAGGATTCGGTTCTTCTACCCTGTGCAACAACAATTTCCCTTATTGTTTGAGAAAGAACGACTAGGATGCAAGAGATCGAATTTTCTCTGGAAGTGCACCGTTAATAAATGGTTTTCCTCTTAATACAATAAATTGTTAAGATACAAAGCGAAATACCGCAATTTATTACCCACATGTAGGATCTCGGTAATTTTCCGAACACAAGTCACTTGCCGTTCAAAGGACAGTGACGGAGAATGTCGTGCAATGGCGTCCAATTAATTCGGAAAATCAAAAGGAAAGAACGAAAGTAATACCAACTGTAATATGTAAAGAATTTTCCTCGTTCTTCCCTTCCTGAAACCTTCTTCCCGATAAGGTGACAGTAACCGATAAAATATTATTGAATGATTATCAACAGGTACTCCTGCAGAATAATATCTGAAGTGAAACTGCATCCATGTGATCGGCATTTGTATGTGTATGGAGCAAACGCGGAACAGTACGAGCAGTTTGAGAGTTCTTTACGTAACAACATGTGAGAAGGAAACGGAACAAAGAGTGCGTGCGCAATCCTTACATTATTATTGTACATTTTATCTACATTTATATAAATGTGCATGTAAATAAGTAGTTGCGATTTGCTCGGATTGCTTTTTGATTCCGTATAAAAATACGACGTTAGAGTAGCGTGGAACTACGAAGCTGGACGGTGTCGACAATGACAGAACAGAGATGGCTACATACAAACGACGACGACGACGCCGACGGTGGTGGCGACGGTAACAACGGCAACGTCAGTGACGCCAGCGTATGACCTACATTTGTGGCAAAGGATACTGACCTGCCAGTGCCAATCTATATCAGGGACGTTGGTTATTATTACGAGCGGCGACGTGGAAGTGGCAACGGACAGGGCCAGAGCCCTGGCAGCCGCGAAACGAAACACGCTCTCGCGAAATGCCAAAATGTGATGTTGTTTTTCGACTAAAACCATGAACGCGATTAGGTACTATTGCATTTACACAAAGAATTCGTTAGAAGCGCTCCTAAAATGACGATATGGTCCTTAAAGGCCGATGAAATCCTTTTAAGAACCTCCATATGTTCTTCCTCCACTTCTGATCCTTCTAGCTGCATAAATGCAGGACCTCAACGAAAATATTATTTCAAACATCCTAAAAACTATCTTGCTAACATGAAAATGCTTTTTAAATACTTCTGAAATCGTTTGGGAGACTTTCTTCTATCTTCTCTGCATTTCTAAAGAATTTGACCTGAACAATCCACCTAAGGAGGTATGGATTATGTTGCGAGAATCATTGCCACAATCCTAGAAGCTGTGGTATGACATCCTAATAAAAATTGATTCCATCTACTTAAAGTATATTTCTACCGACTTCCATAAGATGACAAATTGATTTTATGTTAGGAATATCTTATAACATGAAGCAATACTACATCACATTCACCAAATTCCCATGCATCTACCACTATGATACTATTTGGGAAAGTTAAATCAGAAACTGGTTCAACTCGCACTAAAGGCAATAGAATACAAATACAATATCACATGCAAATAACCGGTATCTCGTTAGGATGTAGTATAATTTGCATATCATTCTTCCGCAGTAAAGACAAACTACTTTCTACGCGCAAGCAATCTGTCGTACTTTTATAAACACTTTAAACTCCTGATGAGGATCTTTAAAAAAATGCATTTCAGACTTTAGTTAACTGAGGATTGCTTCAGGATAATCGCTCTCCTGAAGGTAGAACATTGTTTAGATATCATCAACATATTAACAGAATTGTACATATTGTTGAATGGACCTATTTACAAATAAATTATTACTTATCATTAATTAATTTAATGGACAGTGACAAAGAACACCACATTTTTCTAAATGAAGCACTAAAAATGATCAGCATGCACGGATTTTGTGGAGAAGATATTGGCAGTTCAATACTACTAAAAATTTTAGATAACTGAAATATACGATAGAACCCCTTCTGAGATTTGAAGAGCTAGTTAGAGACATATTAGAAGCAAGAGTAAAGAGTAAGCAGAAAAATGCGAAGATTGATGTAAAATACGAAAGATTGAAGATTATCCAACGAGCCTTCGAACTGATGATCTTGTGATGACGCTTGAAAAACCATCTAGTATTTTGGTCAAAATTTACCATCCGCCACTGGCCGATACGTACCCATATCATATCTATACATACAAATACACTATTGTTGTTTTGCATGTGTAATTCGGATAATTAGTGATTAATTTATTTGTATAGTGTACAATTGCACTACATATTTGTTTAAATCCTGCGATTGCCGCAATATTGACATGGATGTCCCTTCCGAATGAACATCTAACCCATGGGATTAAGTGAACCACAAAATAACATTTATTTACCACCACAACACTTACGTTTTCTCGATGCCATAATGATTCTATTGATATATGCAATCGAATACTTTGTTAGTTGAGAAGCATTAAGAGAGCCGCAAGGGCACATTAAAACATTAAACTTAAGCAATCGCAACGGCATACTCAACTACATGACCACACATTCAATTATGATTTTTAGCATCATGCCAATAATACATGACTTTGATGATGACGATGATTATGGCGATGAAAAGGATAACATTTAGATGATCTAATGATGGGATGACTGATTTAAGCAGAGCGAATGTTTGATGGTGATTTTGAATTTTTAAAAATTTAACGTACCAGTCGGACCTGAATTAAGTTTTCTGTTGGCCTTCCAGACAGGCTTTGATTTGATTTCCCTGCGGCAGAAAGAAAAATTTCATTTTTAAAAAAGTCTTACAAAAGAGTTACAGCAAACTTATCATCAAAAAATAACCATTTATGTAATAATTTTGACTTGTGACAAAAGTCGTTTACAAAAAGTTATCACCAGAAATCAACGGCTTTGATACCAGAAAAAAAAGGATAACGAAAACCACCTTGTACATTTACCAATGTAGATGTTATGTATTTGTACAACTTAATAGGCTCCGTTTGCAAAGGATTTCAAAGGACCCAATGAATGACTTTACGCTAAAAAGCTGTAGAAATGTCAAAGCTCAAGCTGTGTGTTTAGCAAAAAAAGCTGCCAATAAAACCACCATTGCCCCCATTTGATAAAAAAGCCAAGACTCCAAGTTATAGGAAAGAAAATAAATTATGATGTATCTCACTATTCAAATAATGCGATTCAATACCTTGGAATCAATTTGTAGTTCCACTGAATCCAATAAATGTGTACATATTTTCCTTTCGTTTTTTTTTTGGCGTTTATTACGTAAAGAAAATCGATTTCATTGCATTTGTAACCTCCACAACGCCCTAACAACTGACCTATGCTATTGATTTTTGATCCATTGCAGAAAGCAAGGAACTATCTGCTAAGATCGTATCGAATACATCGCAAAAATTTCGCATGTTGCACATTTTGTTAATTCTTCGAGTATGAAGATGTTCGTGATGTAGCTAGATTTATAAAAATATAAAAATTGACGAATGTGATGGTTTTGCTGAGACTCAAAGAGGGTTCATCGAGATAAACCGATGGAGAAGAACAACGTAAAGTTGTTATATGAGAAATATCTGTCGACATACTTTCTGTTTAGACCTCGGTAGTTTTTTTCAAAAAGTCAGTCCAGTGCACATCATTCGATGGTGGTCGATTTGAAGTAAACGCGAAAATCGTGATTGTTTTCCGTCGAGCGCAGACGTGTGAATGGGAATAGGTCCTTTTTCCTGGAAGCACAGCGTAACTGTGTACGTATACGTATTTGTATACTTCAATCGCGCGACTAAAATTAACCTAGTTTCGCTGTAGAGTACTTTGACATCAAGCCGGGCAATTTTCGATCGCAAAACTGACCCAATTGTAACTGGTCTATGTTACTAGTTTAACTGACCTAACATGCTACTTACTGACAGTAGCCAAGCCAATCGTTTAATTCGCGAAGAAGATGAAAGTACCTACAGAATGTCATTGTTCTAGTTGGAAAACTACCACCGTCCGTTTAACCTTTAACTAACTATACAGTTAATAGAACGTAGAATCATAATCTCCTATACTTATCAAGTATGTTGTTCTGCAACCATTCGATGAGCTTTATACGTTGGGCAAACTGCGAGGCACTTGTACGTTAGAGTTAAACAACGTTTTGATCAATTTAAAAATATGGACCCACGTAGTACGTATCTTGCAAAATAAACCATAATAGCGGTTGTAATATTTTGTTTTTAGTTATGGTGACGCTAAAGCGTGAACGATAATGAATGTTATCACTTCAAAAGTGCGTGACTTGGTACAATTTGTTTTCGTTTGGCTACCACCAGACCTTTGCAAAAACAAACTTAATTTTCTTTTTAAAATACGGTTTCTATTTCTGTAGTGATTTATTGCTAACAAGGCCAAGATGGTAGTAGTTAGTTTTTATTTTTATTTACTCTCAAATTTTTGAAAAACCACCGAAATAAGGCCTTACATAATGTTTCTACGTATATGTATATAGTGACTTACTTTGCTAGTGTTTACTTGATATACTTAGAGCCCTTATTGTTTCAAAAACAGCTCTCAACATTAGTTGATTAACATGAAACACACGGCTGACTGTTTTCTTTTTTATATGAACATAGTGTCACGCAAATCTACGATATTGAATACGGAACACACAAAACGCACTTCGCATTTCCACATTTTCTTAGAATCGCGCGAAAAGATGTTTTGACCCATTTTAAATTCTATTTTTACCTATTTAACAATTGTTTACCTGTCAAACTAAAGCTGTATTCTGTGACTCATTTAGTGACGAGTGCGTCTTCAAAATGAAATAAAATAAATTGTAGACGCAAATAGGCGATAGTTTAGAATAAAAAGCAGTGGCAGGTTGCGCACAAGACCACAAGGACTGCCGAAAATAAATTAATATAATCCATGGACCAAGAAGGATTCGATCATATTATTGGGAAAATCGTTTTCGTGCATGTTTATTGAAAAAAGCGATGAACACTTAAATGTGTTCAAAACCCAACGTATACTCCTACGCCCTTGATGCTAAGATTGCCTGAGCAAAGATGATATTAAATTAATTCGAAGTGGTCTGTATTATGTCGAAACTGCCAGACGCGGATCGCGATTTCGATCTTTTTGGATCTCATCAGCGCGTCGCAGACAGCTCCGACAGAACACAGACCAACTTTTACCTGCTGTTTTAACAGTGCGTTTTAGAAAATACTACAAATGGCGCAGTAAACGCCATCTGTAGCACGATGCTACATTTTAGGATTAGGTTTTCAGCAAGTAGATATCCACACAAGTGGACCTTGTTGGAGCATACGTAATCCTAAAATGTAGCATCGTGCTACAGATGGCGTTTACTGCGCCATTTGTAGTATTTTCAAAGATGATATTAGTTATTGGCGATAAAATTACGTAAAATCGATTATTTTCGTGGCAATAAACATGTATAAATAGATATCGAGTTCTAAGATTTTAGCAATTTGTTTACTCACCGCACCCTATCGTTCAACGTGTTGTACCTACTCGGGCTGCCACTGATAAAAACAACGTGCTTAAAATTTTGTCCGTTGGTAATGAAAGACATACACAATTTATCAGCGTACGCATAAACAACTATTATCACAGCTCAGTGTTTGCTAATGTTAGATAATAACGCACTTATTAATGTTTAAAACAACTGTCTAAATAAAATTATTTCGTTCCACTTTTTGCAGCTTTACCGCTAATTTGTTTTGTTTGCACTGCCACAAGTTCGAGTGTCAATAGCGAATCGACGGTAAATTCACTTTCTTACAGATTGTTTAGTCTCTCATGGTAACTTAGGTACCACTGTTAATAAAATTAAAATACGGAACATTTAGTAAACAGTTGTGATAAATAATTTCGTAAATATTTTGCTTCAATGTGCTATTTTTTTTTGTTTTTGGCTTACATTTGAAATTATTAGTGTAACTTTATTCTAATTTTTGTCACAAGAACATGACCTACATTTCTTCTTTGTAAAGGAAGTGTTTCTATTACCATTTCGCATTCGTTGATTATAATACGTTACATTTATAAATTAATTATCTTTTCTCATGATGTTCATCATTAACGATTAATTTGGCCTGTCAAAAATAAATCATCATTAGGATAATAGCGACACAGAAGCCGCATATCATAAATAACAACATCAAGTATAAGGCAATTTTGAATATGTGCAATAAAAAATACGGTCTGATATAATATGGGAACCACAAATTTTAGTCACTATTCAGTTATTTTTAATGGGTTTTTAAAAAACATTACGAAATTTTAACAATTTCGGAGAAATAGCTGTTGATTTTATTTTTTAGACAAGTTGTGTTATCAGACTTTTATCATTTTTCTACCCATTGGTGGTAAAAATAGCTTGAATCATGTTTACTACTCATATGCGTCACGGTCGCCCAAATAAATGGTGGATGCGCTGGGATATCGAGTAAATTGAATCATGCTAGCACTAAATTTTATTTATTGGTTATTGCAATCACGAATTTGATTAGTATAGGGAGTAATTAATAAAAAATTGGGTATAAACAAAGGGTATTTGTTACTGTATGTCCTCAAAGTCGAATCTACGTATGGGCATTTTGGGCTGCAGCCCAGAAACAATTTCCCTAATACTTTTCTATCATTAAAGAAAATATTTTTTTGACAAAATGATTAATTAAGCCCCAAAGTAGTGTTAGTCCAGGGCCCCCACATTCGGGGTCTTTATTACTATAAGTCGTATTTGTATATAAAATATTTCGTCGTTTTTCATCCTTGCCACCGATCAGTAACCTCTGGGACAGATTATCGTTGCCTTTATACGAGGGTGGATTGATAAGTTTCCGGCCTGACCAAGAAAAACAAGGTTTTTAAAAATTTTTTTTTTTTATTTCTCAACATAATCTCCTCCAAGGCTGATACATTTCTCATAGCGGTGTTCCAGTCTATTAATGCCATCTCTATAGACTGATTCGTCAAGCTCCTCAAAATAACCATTTACAGCTTCGATTACTTCTTCATTGTCCGCAAATCTCTTACCGCCAAGCCATTTTTTGAGATTAGGGAACAGAAAATAGTCACTCGGGGCTAGGTCTGGAGAGTAAGGAGGGTGCGGCATCAATTCAAACTTTAGATCGTTGATTTTAGCCGTCGCAACGATTGACGTGTGCGCTGGTGCGTTATCGTGATGAAACAAGATTTTTTTCTTCGCCAGATGAGGTCGTTTAATTTTCACCTCGTGGCTCAAACGTTGCAATAAGTCTGCGTAGTATTGACCAGTGATAGTATTACCCTTTGCAAGGTAATCAATGTATATAATACCTCTTGCATCCCAAAAAACAGTAGCCATAACCTTGTTCGCCGAAAAAATTGTTTTTGCCTTCTTTGGAGTTGGTTCCCCTGGTCCAATCCACTGTTTAGACTGTTCTTTGGTTTCAGGAGTGTAGTGGTGGACCCACGTTTCGTCAACGGTTACGAATCGACGCAAAAATTCGCTTGGATTACGCTTATACAATGACAAATTTGCGGTAGAAATGTTTTTTCGAATCAATTTTTGGTCGACTGTTAGCAAACGCGGCACCCATCTTGCACAGAGCTTTTCCATATGCAAATGTTGGTGCAAAATATGTTGCACACGTTCATATGACATCTTACAGGTCTCAGCTATCTCACGCACTTTCAATCTGCGGTCTCCCAGCACTATTTGATGAATTTTTTCGATCATATCTGGAGTTGTGA